CTTTTTTATTTTCTAGAGACTTAGCCAAACCTACATCTTTCATTTCATTTCAGAGATTTAACTATTTAAGAACTCATCAAGAAAGAGTTTAAAAAAGAACATGCTGCTGAAAATTCAAAACTATTAAAACTGCTCAAAGTCAAGAAAAGAGGAGATTTACCATTTAAGAAAATAGCTCAAAGTTAAGACTTTAAAAGCTACTTGAAAGAGTTTAAAAGAGAACATGTTAGCAACTATCTTACAAAATACACCCAATATTTGGTCTGCATTCATTTATTTGAAGAGGAGTCAAACTTATCACATTAAAGATTTAGTTCAAGAATATTTCTTCATTCAAGAATTTAAGTAAGGCCAAACCACACTTCTTCAGGAGATAAAGTTAAAGACTGTTACACCTCTTTATAATACTCTTTAGGGTTTCTTATAATCTTTTTCTTATAAATAGCTAGCTTAGGTTGGAGGAAAAAGTATAGTTGGGATGATAGCCATCTTATAGCTTTATAAGGTTTTCTTTTATTATTTTTTTTTTCTTTTAAGTTTTTTTTTAGTTTAAGGCTTGCGGTGACAGATTAACCATTGTTCTTTTAAGCTTTCTTATATTGTTTTTCTTAGTTTTATAATTCAATTAATTTTCTTTCAAGTTAATTTGATTTTCTGCAAATTTAATTTAAGTTTTTTAAGCAATTTAAATTTTGTTTTGATTTAATTTAAGGTTAAACTTTTTAATTTTTTGTTTTTTTTAATTTGTTATTTTAATTTAATCCAAGTTCAGTTCATATAATTTAAGTTTAATTCTGCTTTAGTTTGATTTAATATTTCTCAAATTAAATTTAGTTGCACAAGTAATAATTTCAAGTTATTAGATTAGATTTAATGTTTATACATGATTTAAAGTTTAATTTGCATAGGTTTTTTGTTAGTTGTGATTTAAATTTATTTACATTGTTTATTATTAGAACATGTTATATTAAGTTTAATTTGATGTTCCTAAAGTTTCATGAGTTAAATTAAGTTTGTTATGTTTAATTTTAGTTTTAGTTTTAATTGATTCAGTATCTTTACATGATAATTCAATTTCCTAGTTGTTGCACTAGATTTATTATTTAATTTAAAGAAATAGAGTTAATTCTTGTATTTTAGGTTGCAACTTAAATTCTATTTTATCTAAATTCTCTTTGCATATTGAAGCTTCAACTTTATTTATAATTTTGATTTACTTAAGTTACTGTTTAAGTTTAATTATTTGTTTTTGCATATTTCAATTTTAGCTTTAGGTTGTTAGCTTGTTTAATTAGATTTTTGCATAAATTAATTTTCTGTTTTAATTAGTTAAGTAGTTTAATTTAGTTCTTTCATATTAATTTCAATTTATCTAAATATAATTAGGATGTTATAATTTCAATATTTAGTATTAACTCTATTTATAACTCTCATAAAAATCATCTTTATTTACTATTTATATGATCTATACGTAATTGTAGAATCTCAATTATTAATACATTTTAATATAAATGACTTAGGTGCCATTTTGCTAGTACCGCACAATATCTTGATGCGCCATTAAGTTTAAATTTGGACTTAGGTTTTTGTAATTATATTTCAAAGTAGGAGTTTCCCTATATTTTACGCCAAAAAAAGGAAAAGAAAAAGGGAAAGAGAATAAAAGGAGTACGAGTATATATAAGCCATGGAATCACAGAAAGGGAAGCTAAAAACCTAAAGAAGTAATGGATAACTTCTGAGTTTGTGGCTACAATAGAATCTGTCATTCTTGCTAGGGTGACAGACAGCTTCCTTTAATTATGAAGTCGATGCGTTTTCTCTTTATCTTTAAACGGAAAGAACGGATGGAGACATGTCATTCGGCATTTGGCCTTAAGAAGAGGCGGGTGTGACGTGAAGATCAGCATTGCTATCTTGCGTTGGGGCGTCGAATAAATTTATCGAAGAAAACAAAACAAAAAAGAGCAGATGCGGAGCACATTGTGCAAGGATGGAATACTGTGGACCGACTTCTGAATAAATTGCTCAATCAGAATTGTTATTATTGGACAGGTCCTAATTCACTTTACCGTTTGGGGGATCTATGTCACCTGTAATTTTTTTTACTATAATTAATTAATCAAAATCAAGAATTATATTAGGATTTATCATTTAAAAATATGAATGCTACATAATTATTTTATAACCTTTATACAAAACTAAATTATGATTTATTAATTATTTTTCAATACATTATAAAAAAAATGTTCTATATTGATGCTAAAAAAATTGACAGTAAAACTTAAAAATCCATCGGTATAGCATAATAAATCCTATACTGATGGTCAAAATATCTATTCCGATGAATTTATAATCATCAATATATCTCTTTTCAGTATAAATCTATATTGATGGTTTTTAAGCTATCGAAATATATAATAGAGATATACTGATGGTTTTAGTCCGTCACTATATGGATAGCTATTGGTATAGCAACTATAGTGTTTTTTGTATTATACCTTTTGCCAATGGTTATTCTCATCAATATAGATTCATATGTTTTAATTTTTTCAATTTATACCGACAATGTCTCCATCAATATATCTTTTATCAACAGTCAATGCTTATCAGTATAGCTTTATGTGTTTTAACTTTCACCGATGGTCCATAATGACTACCAATATAGCCTAAAATATTTCAATAGCAAAACGCGTTAGTATAAATTTGAGATATCGGTAAAAACTTTTTTTTGAAATATATTTTCAATTATTAATATCAATTTATTTATAATCATAATATGATATGGTTTTATATAAAGTAAAAATACACAAAAAAGTAAAAAAATTTAATAATATTTGAAATAAAACAATAACTAAATTGTTTTATAATCCACAAATTTAAAATAAGTCAATAACTATCATCATTGTATCAAAAAAAAAATTAATATCTATGGTTGCATGCCTATAAACATGGTACTCAAAGTAAATAAATAACTCCCCAAAGTAAGATGATGCCATCCTAAGTTGGTCCAAATACTGTTTAATTAGTAAAACCTAATAAAAAATTCCATGTCAAATTAAGCTTTTACCAATCAATTATCATAGGAAATGTTTCTAAGGTCAAGTCAAGCATACTAGAAACTATAAACAAATGAATTGTTGACAAGATTTTGTCAACTACTATAAGCTCCCTCCACTTCACGAACCCAAGCAACTATTGAAGTTGTTGAATTCTTTAGAATTGTTTAAAGGTCTCTAACGGGCTGCTACCCACCATCTAGATAAAATGGATCTAAGATTTTATTCATAAGCTGATTATCATTACCTACATACAGGAAAAATATATAATTTAATAACTGAATTCTAGGAAATATCTTTTACACAATGCAATTTGTTATTTTGTTGTACCTGCACCAAGGTTATAAATATGTTGAGTCACTACTTGCAGAGATTTGGGTATTTTTTGTACAAATTGTGTGAACCTCAAATATTCAATCATTCTAAGCTATTATTTCTTCACAAAACATTTAATCATCAAAGCTAGCGCCAATAGAAGGACAAAAAAAATAGGCATACTCGATGACACAAAATTGAAATGCAAAAAATAAAAAATACCTTTGAGAAATGACGAAAGTGTTGATGCTTCAACTTTGATTCAGTTCTAAAACAAAATGGGTACTGATAGGTTTAAGTTTGTAGAGTAGGTGAGAGATGGAGATAGTTGGTGGGAGATGTAGATTAGGCTATGAGTATCGATGGGTAGAAAGAGTTAGTGGGAGATGGAGATTAAGTATGTAAAGTCAACGGAAGGTGGAGGAAAAAAATAATTTAAATAGTTTAGGAATTATTTAAGGCGTTTTTGACTAAAAATGTATTGAATAATTATTTACAAAAAATTGAATGGGGTTATTCAAGGCATTTATAGCCAAAAATGTCTTGAATAATCCTTTTCAATTTTTATAAAGAGACTATTCAATGTATTTTTTGCTAGAAAATACCTTGAATAATCTCTTATAAAAAATTGAATAGGATTATTAAAAGCATTTTCTGGCAAAAAATGCTTTGAATAATCCTAAAAAAAATGGGAGAAGATTATTAAAGACTTTTTTGACAGAAAATACCTTTTATAATCCCTTCTAGGAAGAGATTATTTTTAGTTTAAATAATACCTTTTAATTAGAAAAATATTATAGTAGCTTAATTGGTTAGAGCATATAGCTGTTAACTATAAGGTTTAAGTTCAATTCATTTTTCTAGCGTTTTTTGGGTGAAAGCATTTTTTACCAAAAAAATACCTTAAATAATCTCCTCTAGGAAAGGATTATTCTTAGTTTGAATAATACCTCTTAATTATAAAAATACTAAAATAGCTTAATTGGTTAAAACATACAACTATTAACCATAAAGTCGTAGGTTTGATCTCTTATTTTAGCATTTTTTGGGTTTTTTAAAGATTATTAAAAGCGTTTTCTACAAAAAAACACATTGAATAACCGAAAACGCCTTGAATAATCACATATTATTCTTAGTTTAAATAATAGCTTTTAATTATAAAAACACTGGAGTAGCTCCATCGGTTAGAGCATATAGCTATTAACCATAAAGTCAGGTTTATTCCTCCCTCAAACATTTTTCAAGGTGTTTTCTAGCAAAAAATGTCTTAAATAATCTCCTTCAATTTTTTTTCTCAAATAAAAGCCAATTTTTACATTAATAATCATCAGTATATAACATATTTATACTAATGGATAATCATATACCATCAGAAAAAATTTATTTATACTGACGGTTAAATAAAGTGTTAATATAAGTATAATATATTCAAACGGTATTCAAAAATCATCAGTAAAAATCTTTTTTATTGATACATTTTAACCGTTAATATAATCAAGTGTCAGTATATAAAAAATTTTTTGTAGTGATAATTATAAGTGATATACTTCATTGTTTTTTTCCTTTAAAAATTAAGAGAAAAAAGAATATAACTAACATGTCTGTGGGTAAAATGTAGATTCTATTGATGTTACACAATATAAAAGTAGATATCACCCGTTCATATATAAATAACTCATGTGCCACTTGTTTTCAGCAAGCACAAGGTCACAACTCTTGTTGTGTTTATTATTATTGTTTTTTGTTATTGTGAGTTTAAGCATGACTAGAGACAGAGATCCCCTTGTTGTTGGTAGAGTTATAGGGGATGTTTTGGACTCTTTTACAACGTCTGTTCCTCTCAGGGTGACCTTCGCTACTAAGGAAGTTAGCAATGGATGTGAGCTCAAACCATCTCAAGTTGTCAATCAGCCAAGGGTTGATGTTGGTGGGACTGATCTTAGGACCTTCTACACTGTGGTGAGTATCTTGTTACTCACCTTCCAATTCTTCTTCCTCCCTGCATCTTCTTGTTTATTTATATTATCGAGTAGGATTTTTGGTTTGCTGATCAGCCTCGTTCACATTCGCTGCAGGTTATGGTGGATCCTGATGCGCCCAGCCCAAGTGACCCAAACCTGAGGGAATACTTGCATTGGTGAGTTGCATGTCACTCTCTCTTTCTCTCTCCGGCTCCTTCATCTCTATTCCTCTGCATGCTGTGTGTGTCTCTATCTGTCGCATACTCAAACAGGTACGCGAAGAGAAGCAGACAGTGAGGCGAACAGCCTAGCAAGCACTCCAAATGCTGAGTTTTGGTACTTGCGGTTGTTTGCTTTGTTTCCTCATCTTTCTCCCTGCACACACACAAAAACTCTTGACTTACATAGTTTTTGCGTAAGGAAATCTCTCTCTCTCTCTCTCTCTCTATATATATATATATATACACATATATAGAGTATATTTACGCGACAAGTTTAGCATTATTAGAAGTAGAGTCACATACGCTTGTTCAATCACTTTAAAAAACAAATACTACTGAAACAAACTAGTTGAGAGGGAGGGATTTTCGCTCATAATTAACCAAATAAATCAGTGAAATCAGAAATATCTTATTCCACTCGTAGCACTACCCGAAACCGAAAGCTATTCTAGTTTAATACTGCCTCTCTCTTATTTGATATCATTTTTTTCTGTTCAGATTAATGATTGCGTTTACGATACTTTCCTGGCACAAAAAATATGCAGGACCATCAAAAGTATCTTTGCTATACTACTAGGTTATTGTTACACGAGTGAGTTCCTATACAATGACATATGGCACAATCAAACTTTTCCATGACCCTTTCTTTTCTTGTCTTTGTTTTTATTTCTCGGTCTTGGGATGGTTAACTCGTCATAGAATAATGATTAGATGAATACTTTTGAAATTTTTATAATGTTTTATTTTCATTTATGGTTTAAAATTTTATTTTTTATTCTTTTAAAATTGTTTTAAATCTATATAGCCGTTAATACTTCAGTAAACCTTTGATGACGTATGAACAAAATTTATATTGTACTGATTAGGTGAACATACACATGATAAATTTCGTCTAAATTTTAATCATATATTATCATAAATAAATTTATTTTAAACTAAAAAACTGAATAAATAGATTTTTTTAAATCACGAAAGAAAATAAATTGTACGAAAAGATTGCAATGCAAAGGTAAAATTTACTCTAAATAATTACAAGGTAGTTGTGCACTCCATGTACGTTCCACAATAGGCCTAGATGGTGCCCCATCCTACTTTCGTTGAGGTGAAAGGGCAGAATTTGCCACATGCACCTAGTGGTCCTAGAAGAATGGTCTCTATCGCTTTCTCTTCTTGGCTAATTTTCATCTATAATTGCTTTGGAGTGCATATCTATCTTATTTCCTGAAGCAGTAACTTTTGTCTTTATTATATTTGAAGTAGCACGACTGAATCAAGTGAAAGAAGGGAGCGAGACAGAAGGATTTGGGGTGGCTATATTGCTCATAACGTATTAATCTAATATTGAACATAATTACATTCGCAATATTAGTGTTCGAAAGAGAAAAAAAAAATGTATGCAGCACACTAACTTTAAAAAAAAATAAAATAAATTAAAATTCATCGTGCACAAGAAATAATTTTAGAATTTATTTGGGTGATGGATTAATTCTAATAAAATTGAAAACATTAATAAAGGTGAATTTAATTATTATAGTAAAATTAAAATAAGAAGTAGAATATGTATTTGGGTTAAAAGCAGCGATGATAATGAAGTAAATTGTAATAAAAAATAATTATTAAAAATATTAAATTAAAAATTATAAAAAATAAAAAATTTAAATATTTAATATTTATAAAGTTAATAAAAAATAAAAACTTATTATTTGTATGCATATCAAATAATAGTTTTATTAAGAAATAATTAAAAATTAGTAATTTTATCTTGTAAAAGAATAAATCATTTGAAAAATTTTAAATAGAAAGTTAAAAATAAAACTAATAAAAATGACCAAAACAAAACAAAATTTTAAAAATGAAAACAGTAGAGCAATGGTGCGATTTGCTGCTATTACCGCGCCTCACATGAGCTGCTTTTTAAATCCAAATAAATCAAGGAAATGATTCTTCTCGTATCATAAAGTTGGTTGTTTGTACTATGAGCGACCAGGTCACATGATTCAGCTCACATTTTCCAGTTTGACGCGACGTGATTGGTCATCCAATAGTATTTCTTTCTTAAAGATGTTGTAAAGAAAAAAAAGTGTTTTATTCCGTCATCAAAATTTTTTATTAATGCTCATCTGTAACGCATTACTACTAACCTTATCATCGAAATCAAACTTTTCAGGTTGGTAACTGATATTCCAGCAACTACGGAGGCAAGCTTTGGTGAGTATTTTCTTTGCAGACTTTATACTGCTATGCTATGCAATATATTTTGTTTTACTTTAAGATTCATCTGACCATGGCATGTCAGGGCTCTGGACCTTTTCTGATCCACGAATATTCAATTTCTCCTTAACTAAATTTACTGTCTAATTTTTTTTTTTTTTATTTCTATCTGAAAGGTCTGAGCTTTTAAATTTTAAAATCAAAAGTAAACATGTTATCCTATCAAGCCATCCGATATCTCTCTTCCCTTGCCTTCTTGCCTTCGCTATCTTCTCTTTTCTCTTCTTAAGCGTAGTACCAAAGCTCCGTCAAGTGAACATCGATGGAGAAAATGATGCAAAATCAGTTGCTGCCAACAAGGAGAATACCCTTTTCGTTGAGGCGGACAAAAGCTCCCTTCACCCGAGGCTTTCTTTGTTCCTTGTCCTCTTTCTTTCTCGAGCCCCAAATTGGCCCACTGAAACACTGTGGGAGTACCCATATTGTTTGCTAATTTTTGGTAAACATTACTCGGTCAAAAGCAAAGATGGGATGGCAAAAGCTACACGAATTTCCCAACTACGTAGTAAATGATTTGAAGTGACGTCCCATTAATTATTGTACCCAACTAGAGAAATTCACTTCGTGAAGCTTGTGGTGTTATCTATTTCATCCCTTTCATTTTTTAGTAATTATGATAAGATTGACATTTGAGAATTTAGAATCTCACCGAATTGAAGCTTTAAACCAAAAGAGATTGATTAGATGGTTGAAGACGCTAAGAAATTGATAGAGGGATCCTAATTCCTAAATACATTCCCTAAAAGTTATAATTTTACATCATTAAGAAATTAAAGAATACAAATTATGTTGTTCATACGTTGAGAATAGCTGAAATTAATGTGTAATAATATTGGGCTACGTAGGGCACGAAGTTGTGTGCTATGAGAGCCCTCGACCGACGGTTGGAATTCACCGCTTCGTTTTGGTTCTGTTTCGGCAACTGGGTAGGCAGACTGTGTACGCACCCGGGTGGCGCCAGAATTTCAACACCAGAGACTTTGCTGAGCTCTACAATCTTGGATCGCCGGTGGCTGCTGCTTATTTTAACTGCCAGAGGGAGAGTGGTTCCGGTGGCCGAAGGCGATATTGACTTCAACCGTTGCTAATATTGCACGGTTAAATGGATGAAGGATGAAATTAAAATGAATGAATGAATGAAGATCTAGCAAACCTACAAATATTTCCATTTCTCCTCCACTTTAGTTAGATATAGTGTGTGTATGGAGGAGCCTATTGTACTTTGGTACATTGAGTTATTAATAAAATACTTAAATGGAGCTATATATATTGATAAAGTATAACCTTTTTGAGTTAGACTTATGATTTTGCTAATAAAATACATCAGTTATTAGTTCTTTCATCTTATGGGAGTGTGGTACAAAGGCTAAGAGGTGAATAAAGGTTTACTTTCTTTGGATTTCTTAAGTGACCCATTTCTTAGAGTGTCCATCTTGTCTGGTTTCCATTTGGCTACAGAATGCCTTTTATCTTCAGATGAAAAATGATTTTGTTTTGGGCCAAAGATGAAAAAAGTTTGATCGAATCAAAGTTGATTCTTGATATCGTACGGTTAAACTCAAACCTGAGTTGTTGTCAACATTCAATAATTTCGGGTGCGAGTCATATAATCATCTGTCCAAAGGGTCATTTTCTAGTAATGTTTTTCCTCGTTTGAGAAAAAAAATAAAAAAATAAAAAATTGATTTAAAATTATAATATTCAATTCAATTTAAATTATTTTTTATTTGATTTAGATTAAATTTATATATTAAATGTATATATTAAATTCAAGTTAAAAAAAAAAACAAATATAACTGAATTATATATTTTTATTAATTTTTATATGTATTTTAAATATTTATAAAATAAAAATAATTATTTTATATTTAAATTTATTTAAAAATATTAAAAATCATATTAAAATAATATATAAAAAAATTAAATTTCAAAAATTAATGAATCGAATTGAACTGATAAAATTTGATTAGATCAAATCAATATAAAAAGAAAATCAATTTAAATTGGAATCAAATTTTAATATTTTATAATATTATGCATTATAAAAATCAAACTTAATTCAATTTTAACTGAATTTTATTTAAACAGTTATCACCCTTAATTTTAATAGTGTTTGTTAACAACATGCCACTGATTGTTAACAAGAGATGGTTACGGCGTATTGTCCAAAATCATGGTAATGTGATTGATGTGTTTATAACTCAAAAGACAAGCTGGAGTGCCAAAAAATTAGTTTTTTTTTGGTTCGTTGATGAAGTTGGGCCTAGGAAAGCGGCTGCCAGATTAAATTGTTCAGGGTTGATTGATTTTCTTATTGGGGTAAATTTTGCAATGTTTAATAGCAAACAGAGTATTGGAGGAAAGTCAGAATGCAGGGAAAGCAATAGACGGTGAGGATAATAGGATCTTCAAGAATTGTAGTGAGAAATGGGAACCAAACTTGCCAACAAACAGGATGCGGGGAGAAAGAATGTTGCTAAGGAAAGTGGTGGTTTGCTTGATGTTAAAAAAACAATTCTTCAGACTTTGATGAGTAATAAAACGTTACCCAATGATTTAAAAGAGGGTAAACTTTCTGATATGGCACAACCTGACATGGATGATGAAGGCTTTAACAATGTCAGGTGGTGCTCTGGACTAATAGAGGTTCAGGCAGTCCACAGGTTGGAGAACTGTTGGTCAGGGCAGCGAGATGATACTATGAAACTCATAGGTTGATGGAGAATTTTAGAATGATTGGAGTGTTTGATGTTTCTGTTAAAAAAATCTCTAGAAGGCAGTTCCCGTTTTGAATTTGAAGATATGGGAACAATGGGCACTATGAAAAGTCTTGGCTGGTCATGGTTGAAAGATTGATTTATTAACATAGAGGCATGGTCAGACCAAATCTAAATGAAATATCAAGTCATGTAGACATCAAATTTGCTAATAAGATAATATTATTATTAAATATAATAATAATATAAAAAAATACAAATAAAAAAAGACAAACAAAAAATACAAAAAAAGTAAAAAGCAAAGCAGGGGGTGCCTGGTGCTGTGCACGGCACCACTAGCACCATCACCTGCTAGGCCCTGTGCTACTTACCCAGGCATAGGGCTAAAGTTAGATAAACAGAAGAAACAATAGGGGGCTGGCACCCCTCATTCTGCCAAATCCTGTGTCACCTGCCCAGGCACAGGGCCACGGTGGGAGCTCTGTAAATAGAACTTCTGGTTGACCCCTAAAAAGACAGAGAGGAAGGGGAGGGGATTCTGCAAAAAAAAAAAAAAAGTTTCCAAAATAAAAAAAAATATTCTTGCCAAAGAAAAGCCATTCAAACAAAAATCATAGTCCTCGCCGAATTGGTGATGAACCCAGTGCCAAGTGAAACCTGCGAAAACAAAAAAGGAAAATAGTTAGTTTTAGTTAAAAAAAATTCGGAGACCGAAACTTTAAACCCCAATTTACATCGATCGGGGCTATTTTCTGTGAAAAGAAGGTTGGATTCGACGATAGGGGTTTAAAGGGAAGGTTTTGGTGTTTTTTGGGTATTTTCGACGATCGATTGTCGACCACCGACGGTTGCTGGAGCTATAGATGGTGACCAGCCAATCGGTCTAAAGAAAGGGGGTCTAAGAGTGTAGAGAGAGAAAGGGAGAAGAAAAATGAGAGAAGAAAAAATTTTTTAGCTTTTATAGAAGGTTGAGATTCAAAACGACGTTGTTTAAGGAAATGGCTAAAACGACATCATTTTTTAGAGAAGAGGATCCTCGCATGGACCTGGATCCGACCCGGGATCTGTTCAAATCGATTCATCAACTCGACCCCCCTTAGGCCCAGGCCTAATCGGTCTAACTGAACCGAAATCGAATCGCTAAACCCGATCTGGACCGAACTTGAACTGTTGAACCTAAGTTGGACCGGCCCAAACTGCTGAACGTGACCAGACCGTCGGTCCGACTTTGACCGATCCGGTTCAGGTAAAAAAATTTTATTTTTATTTTTTTAAATTTTTTGATTTTTTTAAAATACTATTTTTGTTACTTTAAATTTTATTATTAATATTTATGCATGTTAAAATGTTTAAAATTGCATAATAAATTTTTGTTGTTTTATAATATTGTTAAAATTTTTATAATTATGTTATTTTTAAAAATAAACTTAATAGTAATACATAATTAAAAAAAATGTATGAAAAGAAAATTTTTATCCGATGATGAGATTCAAAGATACTTCGAGTAGTGATACCTATAAAATCTCTAGGTGAGAAGATTTTTTTAAATACTACTAGTGTATTGAAGTATTTATAAAAAATTTTCAATACAATAAAAAAAATTTTTTGTTATAAAATAGTAAATAATAATAATTAATAAATTAATAATAAGCAATAAAAAAATGAGAAAAAAAAAATTTATCCGATAATGAGATTCTAAAAGTATTTCAAGTAGAGATACTTTAAGAAATTTCTAGGTGAAATTTTTTTTTAAATATTACCAATGTATTAGAATATTTATAGAAAATCTTCAATATAATAAAATTTTTTTTTATTATTTTTTAAACAAAGATAATAATAAATATTAATAAAAATTAATAAAATTTCTAAATAATAACAATAAAATGTGTGCGCTAACATATTATCATTTGCATTGCATGCACGGTATAAATTTTTTACGAAAAGTAAATTTAAGCCTCTGAGGATGAGATTCTAAGGTATTCCAAAAAGCGATGCCTAAGAAATCTCTAAGTGAGAAATAGTTCTTTAAATATTACCAATATATTGGAATATTTTAAGATTTATTTCAATAAAAAGGTTCTAATTTATTTTTCTCGAATAAAATTTGAATAATAAACCTTTTTTTAAAAAAATAATTTCCAACAAATGAAAAAATCAAAGAAATTATTTTTTAAACATCGAAAATAAGACTATTTTTATTAAAATCATAGGATAACACATTAGTTAAGTGGTATCATTTTTAAATGGGCACTATGGGGGTGCTAATCCTTCCTCACACGTAACTGACTCCCGAACTCAAACTGTTTCGCAAATCATAAAATTATTTTTTTAATAAATTTTAATTAATTTTAAAATCTTATTAAAAGGATAAATTTTAATAGGTGGCCAATCGCACGTAGCCAAAAAAGATTAGTGACGACTCTATTTTTCGTTCTTTTATTTTTGTTTCTAAATTCATCGGGCGGCCCTAAAATCGTTACGACAGCTTGGTGACTCCACTAGGGATGTCATTTATTTTAGAGAGGCAGGCCAAAATTAACTAGTGTTATCCTTAAATTTTGATTTAAACATTCTTAATCGGTTCCTTAGATTTTTATTTTTCACTTTCTATAAAAAAATTAAAAACAAAAAGAAAATTCACACACGTTTCTTTTACTATGTTTCTTATGCTTTATTTTTCTTGTATATATTACTTTTGATAAATTAGGAAATATATACACACACAATGACATGATGCATCTCATGCATGAGCTTTATACCTGGACTTCATCTTTTATGGGAGAAAGTAAAGTACCTATGTGCTCGTGAGGTGATAACCTTCGTAATGGCAAGCGAAATACTTTCACTCAAATTGAGCCATTTTCGTTCATAGCTTGTAATGGATGAGGGTCAAGCTGTCTTACTAGTCCTACACGGATGATAGTGAGGAACAATTTGAGAACATTTAGATGCGTATCAACCCAAACCAAGCATATAATATGCCGTAAGAAGCTAACCTATGGTAAAGTTTTGCCCACCTTTTTTTAGAAATTACCAAAGTATGTAGGAATAAAAGTTGTGTGTAACAAAAAACACAAACAAAAAATAAAAAAATCACAAAGCAAAAAAAAAAAAAAAGGCTTTTCAATTTCAAACCACATCCTCACACTAACTCATTTTTTTTTCTTTTTACAAAAATCATATCATACAATTATGCATGAAAGTATTTGCTCTGAGACATTTTTCTCTCGCAAAGTCTTCATAAATCCCATAAAGCTATAGATTTGCTCAAATCTCATGTAACAAAAGTTGTATGGAATTAATGAGAATTTTTAATGCTAAAATTTATCCAAGAGAAAATATCTCTCACTTACATTCATGCATCATGTGCACCATTTTTATTTTTTAAAAAAAATAAAAAAATATAAAATAAAATTTTCAACACATGGCATTCTGATTTTTAAAATAATTTTTTTTTTGGTAATAAAGGTTCAAGAATAGCTTGCCCACCAAAAAATTTTGACTAAACCTACTCACTATTCATACAACACCAGAGTTCAAACAAGAATCATAAAACAAAAACAGGC